CAGCAAGTTGATACCAACTCTTAAGGAATCAACCTCATGAATATAGGTGACTGTTTGATCTTAGTTTTCTGCTTTGGAATCCTGTTGTTTGGGGAGAAATTGGGAAATCCACTCAACATATAGATATATGAATGTATGAAGAAAGAAAGAAAAATACTTTTTCTTGTGAAATTCACCCAAAGTTATCTTTGATTGAGTCTCACAATGACTCAAACTAAATTTAAGAAAAGGAAGATAATCTGTCTTCCTTAGGTAAGATTATTTTGTACCAAAATCCCCAAGTTCATTTAATTGACTGACTCATCATGACTCACAGGAGAGAACAGATTTGCACCATTGAGTTTCTGAGATGGTGAATCTTAACATGAGTTGTCAGCCTCTTCTTTGTCCCTCATCTTAATACCAAGGAAAATAAATTCAATCGCATATTGTGATGTATATAGGTTATGTTAGTTCTCCTACCCACTTTGAAACTTATGTTTTACTAAACAGCACCCTACAAATTAGAACTCACTCAATTGCTACTCTTCTGCCCCAAGTTACAGGGGGAAATAATTTCCCAACAATTTAAAAAAATCTCAAAATTTATAAATATTGAAGTTAATGATAACAAACAGTTCTTCCCAAGCCACCCATTTTCCTTTATCTATTGTGACAGTAACCTGCGGATAGGGATTGATCTGTTGTGACAATCATACTTATTTTCCTTGATCTGTTTCGACAATAGAAAGCAGAATGGCTTTCATCATGTCCTTTTAATATATATTCTGTACTTTCTAAATGCAGTATAAAGAAAAGTTTTATACAATTTAAAATCGATCTCTCAAAATGTTGCAGATATTTATTTTATATTGCTCAAAAAACTCTGTTTAATAACTCGTGAACTCAGACAAATAATAATCTAGGATTAACTTTTTAAAGTGTTTCTGTCCATATCAGTGTTCTATACTGATAGACTATCAGTCTTCTTTCCACATAAAAACTTTAATATATAGGTAAATACAGTGTTTTTAAGTGATATATATCTAGATATTCTCTGGAAAATATATGGTACTTTAAGGTAAGCGTCATGTATGCATGAAGCAGGATTTTACTAGCATATTAATGCAAAATAGAAATAAAATTATTGTCAATCTAGGCAAACACCCCTAAAAGTTGAGATTTTGATTTTAATGTTGACTATTACAGATGATTTTATGAAACTCATGTCTAAACACATTTTTTAATCTCAGATATCAGTAAGGATAGATTAATAAAATAATGGTTTTGCAAAATATACTTTACAAAGAAAATTATATATTTGTCTTGAAAACTGTATGTGCAAGATATTACTTCACTTTCTTTTTTTAAAAATCATTTTACTAGGGGCTTATACAACTCTTATCACAATCCATACATGCATCAATTGTGTAAAGCGCATTTGTACGTTCATTGCCCTCATCATTCTCAAAACATTTCCTCTCCGCTTAAGCCCCCGGCATTAGGTCCTCATTTTTCCCCTCCCTCCCCACTCCCCCCTCCCACATGAGCCCTTGATAATTTATAAATTGTTATTTTGTCATATCTTGCCCTGTCCGACGTCTCCCTTCACCCACTTTTCTGTTGTCCATCTCCCAGGGAGGAGGTCACATATAGTTCCTTGTAATTGGTTCCTTCTTTCCAACCCTCTACCCTCCCAGTATCACCACTCACACCACTGGTCCTGTAGGGCTCATCCACCCTGGATTCCCTGGATTTCCAGTTCCTATCTGTACCAGTGTACATCCTCTGGTCTAGCCAGAGTTGCAAGGTCGAATTCGAGTCATGGTAGTGGAAGCGGGGAGAAAACATTTAGGAACTAGAGGAAAGTTGTATTTTTCATCGTTGCTACATTGCACCCTGACTGGCTCATCTCCTCCCTGAGACCCCTCCCGAAGGGGATCTCCAGTGGCCTACTAATGGGCTTTGGGTCTGCACTCCGCACTCCCCCCCCCATCATTCACTATGGTAAGATTTTTTGTTCTGATGATGCCTTACACCTGATCCCTTCGACACCTCGTGGTTGCATAGGCCGGTGTGCTTCTTCCATGTGGGCTTTGTTGTCACTTTCAATAAATGGCCATTTATACATTGCAAATACTCTAGATAAGCTTCTGTTAACATTGGTGAATGACATTTAAGGCCTTTATATCCATGTGTTTATAAAATATTTAACCACGTAGTGAAATTGTTGTAGTCTTACGACTTCAAGAGAGATTTTGTTGAAATGGACTTTTATTGGTACTTCCCAATGAAAATTACTCAGCTTCAAGAACTAGTTATGCTTTTGGAATTTAAAAAATGATTCATGAATAAACCTAACATTGATATGGTGGTATATTCCTCATCACTTTAATTTGGATTTGGTAGGGAATTTTTTATGCTAGTTGAATATCCAAGAAATGATGAGAGTTATTGACCTATTATCTTATTGCCTTTTAGTAAGTCAATTCCAACTCATATAAACACAACAGAACACATTAGAATTGCCCATGTGGGTTTCTGAGACGGTAGATCATACAATAGCAAGAAGTCTCATCTTTTTTTCTAGGAAGCAGTCGTGGTTTTGAACTGCTGATCTTGAAGTTTTCTGTCCAATGCATAACTGACTACGCAAACAGGGCTTTTTTTCAACAGTATATAGGTACCCATTAGTAATCTTCAAGTATTGTGCATTATTTTTGTCCATATAGAGGTAAATTCAGTGGATGATTATAGTATAAAACTCTGTTTTGAATATGGACCCTGAAATCTTACATCTGAGAGACAAAAGTATAAATGCTTTATTACTAGCACAAAGCACAGGCTATGCCCCTGTAAAGCAAACAAACGAAAAACAAGCAGCCATATGACAGAGAGGCTTAAACTCTGTCATCTGCGTCTATAAACAGCTGGTTACGAGCTGATACAGTGGCTCCACATCAATAACAGCTTCATTTTCTAGACTTAAGTCTCGAATGTTACCTTTTGTAGTCAATGGGAAGGATAATTATGGGAAACCAATTCTAATATTTTAAATGACAAGACCCATAAATGTCACAATTCGTATATCCTCACACCCTTGATGCCGCCCACTAACAACACATAGGTACAGCTAACCGAAGTGAATCTGGAAATGCTTGGTTTTTGACTGACGATACCGACTGATCCTGCCATTGACAACAAAAACAAAGTTTCAGTCTTCTATTTATTTTTGTTATTTCATATTAAACACAAAATATGTCACTCTAGCAGTTTTTGTACATCATTTTTCAAATGTATCCCGATATCTAACCTTTGTTACTTTCCTTCTTCACATGGTACTATTCAAAATCATTCCAATTGTGAATTTGGCATCGGTATTAAATTTGCTGGTAAAATGATAATATATGTAAGATAATAAATATCATGTTTTATAAGATTTTAAAATATTGATATAAAACTTTGTCATAAGTAGAAATTGTCTTCCTAAGCATGGTTCCAAAAAGTAGAAGATTGTCTTCCTAAGCATGGTTCAAAAATTCTAAAATAACGTACGTCATCAGAAATTCTTCTGTATATGTTAAAAGTCTATGGTACTACAGTATTTAAATATCTCTTAGGATTCCAATTTCAGGCTTAGAACTCTATTTTCATGTCCAATAGAATTTCTGTGAAGATGGTAATGTTCTATGAATATTCAGTAGGGCAGCTATTTGTTGTGAGAATCTTTTAAACACTTGGAATAAGCCTCGTGTCTTATTTTAATAGCTACATGTAGCTAACAGGTCATGGTATTCAAGATCATAGTTCCAATCACTTTCTTCTTTATATATGAACATATATGGCCACATCTTTACTCCATTGTATTACTCCTGAAAACCTTAAAATGAAATTAATTAGCCGCTATTTTTATATTTGATGTCTCATTCTTTACTATTATTTATTAAGCACTTGATATGTGTCAGGTACAGTTCTGAGAACTTCATACACAACAATTTTTTCATTACCACAAGAAAGATATATTAGAATTATCCACATTTTATAATTATGTAAGCTGACACAACTGCAGATTAATCATATCAAGTGCTATTAAGTGGTTGAATCAGGAAATCTGAGGCAATCTGGCTTCAAATTCCTGGTTCTCATTCCATTTTTTTACCACTTCATTTGTGAAAGTGATGTTTTGTTTTGTTTTGTTTTTTACCAGTAATTCTTTTTAGGCAAAATGCATAATGTTTGGGACCTTTCTAAGAACATGTATATGACTAATGTAAAATACCAATTAGTAATAACTCTGTATTCTCAGAGGCAAAAAGAAACAGGGTATGAGGTGTTTCTGTCATCACCGCCTGCCCCCAGTCCTATCACAGTTATCTGAGTGGGAACTCAAAATGTTCTCTAACCTGTTACTAATGGGACACTGGAAAAAAATGGGACACAGAATAATAAAATAAATTATAAAATATAATACACACTAACACAGTTTTAAAGTAGTCAAGAGTGATTATTTTCAAACTATTATAATATTCAAATTCCACTCAGGTTTGTAATTTAAGAGTTAAAATTACTTAGAAGCCTACTGTCCATAATTAAGTAATCTTACCTGCTAATATTACAGAGTACCTTATGAGACATGAAATCTGTCATTTTAAGTATACCCCCAAGCCTATTCCAAATTGCTCATAAGATTTCTCATTCTCTAGAGAAATACGATCTCTAAGAAATAAATGTCTCTGTCAAGTCACAAGTAATATGAGCACATGATGAAAAAAGAAACTGGTATTTTTGAGTCTCATAAGGAATATCTCAATATTGTAAAACTGATTTTTTCCCTTCTTATTTAAGGAATTATATGATGACTTTAGGATTTACCTTTTGGATATAATGGAAAAGATGTTATACCTTTTAGGAAGATGGGGGACAGAGGCCTTTGGGGACCAGGATAGTATTTTTCATATGAAATTCTTTGTCATAAAATGCTAATGTTGGTGTTCTTGTCTTTATGTCTATGCATTCTTTAGCTATGAGGATAACAGACCCTTCATCAAGTAAGAATGACCTGAATGGCTGATAAATTCCATTTATCAGTGTGGTCCCATGAACCAGCTGTCAGATCAGTACTGAAAAGTCATTAGAGCTTCTGTCATTCACATTGAGGCAGAAGAGCAAACTGTGCAGGAAAAGACTCAGGCGTACAATGTTTATGCAGAATAAATGTGCACCAGGTGTATTGCCAACAAATTCTGCATCACCTCTTTTAATTGGCTACCACCTGAATTCAATGCAACAGTAATAGCAATTCCATGTGGTACAGACTTGTTTGGCTTTGAATAGATTTCCCCTTTTCATTGTGATGTATTTCTCTGTACTGCATATGTCCGCATTCCTGTTGTTTGTTGGGGCATCATTCATTTAAAATTATTTCGTGATGTAGTGGCATATCTTTAAAATGATCTTATGTGTTTCAAACTATCCGATAGCAATCAGTGTTAATGAATTGTTAAATTAAAGCAAAAGGAAAAAAATGCCTTCATCAAAAATTAAATCATACATATAAAAAATTATCCCTTTCAAATGTGACATCTGTCAATCGACCAGTGACCTAGTTTTTATGACTATCTCTTTTAAATTTCTGAATCTAATAAAAATAAGCATATGTGCTAATATTTGGCCTTCCTTCGATGTGCATTTTCAAAGTGCACGTCCTGCAACTAAGAGCAAAGACCGGCAACCGAAGGGTGCCTTTCAGTTTGTTCTTCTGGTGAAGAGTCCTTTGTTTTCATCTGATGAAACGCCATTTCACTTACTTCTTCATGCTTTTGCTTATTTATGTTTTTAGGATTGGTGCTCATTGCAGCGCTTTGTAGCTTAAGATCCCATGGCTCCATCATGCATTATCTGGTGAATAACAGCTGACATGGATATTTTATCCCACCATTTTACTTCCAAGCGAAATAGCAATTTTGCCTTGATTTAATGGCATTTTTTCCCATTTTTCCTTTTTCCAATGTCTGTCAGAAGATGATTGCTTTGCCTTGGAAGTCCTTATTTCTCTGAATATGTAGCACAAAATATGAATATTTAGGATATTTCCTAATTCATATAAGTAAACATACTGCCTACAGACTCCACTGAGGATTCTTTATTCAAGAATGATAAAGCTTTATATTTAACAAAATAAATGTAGTGAGTACTTGGACTTCAAAGATAGTCTAATGATTGTAAGATAAAAAACTAACTAATTGAGGTAAATTCTAATAAGACTTTAGAAATTTACTACTTCGGGACTTTGACTTACATTAGATGATTTCCCCCCTTTAATTTGCAGTTTCAATTCCCATGAATCTGTCTTTGTTAGAAAATGTAAGCAGAGGGTAACAGATCCTGAAACGACATTAGTTCTTTGTTCAGGGAAGGCGGTCTGGGCAAGGAGTGCATAGAGATCTAAGATGGTCTATTCATATTCTTCCATTTAACTTCAGAGGACTTGGGAAGGATTCCAGATTCATTCATTGGATTCCCATTTAGTGAATGAATCTATTTTATATTATAATAAATAAATAACACACAATAAAAAATCCTTTGGACTTGTGTGACCTGTTTATTCCTATTGTAAATATCAGTTGGGAGGAAATGAAGAGAACGGAATGAAAGTGAAAATCCGTTTCCCTTCCAGACCGCTTACTCATACCACCCCATCACCATTCCAGCTTCATTTTCTCTTTTGAGTTTACCTTCAAAAAGAGATGAAGAGGCCCTGGACCTAGAAACCTCTTCTCAGCAGAATTTCCAAGTACCTGACTTCCAGAATATAGTTTAATGACACTTCTAACATTAAAATGCTGAAAGTAGATATTGATGCGAGGCGATGGTTTTGCACCCACCCACTGTACCTCAGATTTGTTCTACTTCACTATAGAATAAGATTATTAGAACCTTTAAAAATTTATACATAGATTTCTAATATTTGTTCCTTCTGATGTATGTTTTTATTAGTAAGTTAGTTACGTTTTTCCACACTGGTATGGAAAAATAGAAAATTTGGAAAAATGGGCTAAAAATACATCAGATTAAGCACAAGGGAGATTTTCCAATCAAATGTGTTTTATCATACATTGAAACCATTGGAGACAAACCTAGCTATACAGACATTTTTTTCCTTGCCATTCATGGTAATAACATCTCCATATCATTTGCATATGTGCTTATGTGATGCAAATACAGTAATAATTTATGGTACAATTTGCTTTAGCTTATATAGATTTCTGTGCCCATACCATTTCATTCACACCTATCTCCTCAAGCTTGAAAATGTGTAGTCCCCATTAAATTCTTAAAGTACTTACACCACTGTCTTGCATCTTCTGTCAATATAACTTACCACAACATTTTTTACAGTGTCAATATTGTTGATTGATAAACTTGTATTGATAAAGATCCAGTATCTGACAACTCTTAAATTTTTCTTCTCTTTACAGATCATGGGTTATAGGTGCAATAGCTCTTCTCTGCCTCTTAGGACTGACCTGGGCCTTTGGACTCATGTATATTAATGAAAGCACAGTCATCATGGCGTATCTCTTCACCATTTTCAATTCTCTACAGGGAATGTTTATATTCATTTTCCATTGTGTCCTACAGAAGAAGGTAAGCTAGACTTCTATAAGCAAGAAAAAATGGCATACATATCATCAGAGTAAAACAAACATAGTCTAACATATCACTCCTGGTATGTTTGTTCCTATGACAATGGTATTGCTATTTCTAATAATAGTCAAGGAAAACACAAACATAAGTAGCAGCATAAGCATTGATGATTGGATTTAACAGGACAATCTAAAGCAGAATATTTTATGATGTGGACAACACACAAGAATCATTTTCTTCTAGGTTTGACCTTATAATGTTCTTTTTCAGCTTTGGTCTTCAACATATGAATTGAAAATTGTGTTTTAATTCTTTTTCAAGACGTTATGGAATCTCTGGATATACCTGTCAGAACATAGAGTACAAACACAAACACAAACATATGAGTTTTAAATAAATGGTGGGAAAATTCCATTATCTTTTAATTCTATTTTTCCATGCACTTTTTGAAGACCCATCATATGAATATTTAAATACTTACAGATAAAATAGTATAAATTAATAATTTTAATGAATTATGGACTATCTAGTAATGGTCTCTACAGTAAACAGCATAAAAGTGGACATATCTGGCTTCTCTATTACAGAGGCAGTGGTCAGACAAGCTTCCATGATCTATTATGTTTAACTTATTTTACTCCACACCTGCAGTGGGCTCAATAATTCATTGCAAAGGCTATATAGAACTTAAAGACAATCCTCACAATTAAGGGAGTTTAGTAGGGAAGTTTGGGCTTAATATAGAAGCGGTTGTGAGGATGGTGCAAGACTGGGCATTGCGTCATTCCGTTGTGCTTCCTCTGATCAAGATGACGTCTAACAACAACATTAGAGAAGTTAGTGAGGGTAAGTCAGGATCAGGAAACAGGAAGGACACAGGCGTTCATTCAGAGCAACACCTCTCCTGAGCCAGTCGCCAAGTCTTTCTCCAGTCCTTGGCCTTTCAGCCACATGGTCCTTTGGCCTTCCCCTCCTTGGGCCAGGAAGCAACTTGACAGTCCACCTCAGTCTCATAGTGTCCCATGGTGTCAGTACTGCTTTTGACCACAATCTCGAATGCATCCAGTACCAGCGCCCTCTCACTATTTGACAGAAGTTGGGGGAGTCCTCTTTAAGAACCAACCTTTACTAAGTAGCCTTAAAGATGCTCCCAAGGAAACAGGGTGGGACTTGGTTCGCATCTTCTGCTAAGGTCAGGATTGAACTCCACCCCTCGCTGCTTTCCAATTAATGCCGACTCAAAGTGACCTTCTGTAGGTTTCCAAGATTGCAATTGTTTAGGGTAGTGGAAAGCCCAGTCTTTCTCCTGAGGAGCTGCTGGGGGTTTTGAGCTGCAGGCCAGGAGGATAGCAGCCCAATATGTAACCACTATACCACCAGGGCTCCTGATCCCACCCATGTAGGGTGGTTATGAGTCAGCATCAACTTGATGATAATGAGTTTGGTTTGGTTTGGTTCATGCAGAATGCAATAGGAAGTGGATTACTGCAGAGGCAGTAAGGTTAAAATTGAATCCCTTATCATTTGGGGTCCCTTTTGTTCTATTTCAAATTTGTTCTAGTTTTTTGGTATTGTGTGCTTTCTTTTTAATTGAGGTTTTCATCTGCCCTGGTTATTGCTGCTAGAGTGGTTTTTGTTTTTGTTTTAATTTTTGTCCAGTGTATGAAATCCAAGTTAGGTAAATGTATTGAGACAGTAACGGAATTAATGGTTCCTTACCAGTTTAACAGGGGAGGTTGGGAGGAAATAGAAAACTAAGAACAATGAGTACAGAATGAAGACCATGTTCTAAAATTGATTGTGGTGAAGCTTGACTGTGAAACTCTTCTTAACGCGAATGAGCTATTGACTAGTATGAGAGGCAAATTATCTGCCATTAAAACCATTAACAAAAATAAGCAAAGAAAATGGAATCATAACCACAAGTATAGATACAGAATTATAATATGTTGCATAAGGAATTAGGGCTAGAAGGGCTATAATAATTGACTATATTTCATTATCTATATTTATAAACTTTAAAAATATTTATAATATCAAAATTAGATATTGTTTAAATATTTGCTTGGGTCTACTTTAATTTTTTTTTACATCTATAGGGAAATACAACATGGTTTATTTAAAACTTTATTTTGGCAATGAAATACTTACATTGCAATAAAACATTCCTAGATAGATTTTCCTGTTTTATACTTTTTTACAACATGCTACATAAAGCTCTGATTACTTAATCCACGAAACCAGATTACCTGGATTCAAATCCAAGTTCTATTACTTAAAAGCATATGTGACTGGATGTTAGTTAGCTAACTTCTTCATATCACAGTTTCCTCATGTGTCATATGGATGATGGAAAGACTTAGTAATTCTCTCACAGTTATTTTGAAAATTATTTAAATTGACATGTATTACATTCTAAGAATAATCTGAGAACAGAGTAAGAGTTTATAAATTTTAGTTTTTAATTTCATTCTTCATTGCTCATTTCATAAAAATAGCCTTTATTTGTTATTTTATTTTATTTTTTTCTTTTTATAAATTTTGGCCTCTATTCTCTCCACTTATACATTGCTCAAAACAAGCATTTGAAATGTGCTAGAATTTTGGTATCCTACGACATGGGTCCATGTTAACTACTGAGGGCTATTTAACCTTCTCATATATATGGTGCCATTGGCATATGGTACATGGAATAAATCTTAATCATCTTTTCATATTCCACAATGAATAGCTTTCTATGTGGTGAGCATACAATAAGTAAGCTCTACATTTAAATAAAGAACAGGACCCAGGAGAGAGTAAAAAGACTTCTTAAGTGTCCAGTGTTTTCTTTTGGAAGCGAGGCATGTCTTAGATCGTCACGATCAGCATAAATGTTAACAAATTTTGACTCCGAAGCTAAAATTTTCTTTTATTCCAATAAGGTGTGGGTTTTAATATATTTCATTAGGCTAATAAAAATAATAAATTGTAGAACTGTAGTTTTATAACTTTTTAATGAACTATTAAAAGAAATATGTCTGGAAATTAAGTGACAAAATATGAAAACTATTCCTAAGAAACATCAAAACCTATCATTTTTCTTAGGAAAATTGGGTAAAGTACAAATGGTACAAATGTCTATTTCTAGACTTTCTGCTTTGAGAGAATAAGTGAGGTCAGAAACAGATATCTACTTACTAAGATAAGTCATATGTTATTCGGTTTCAATTTTAGTTGGTGGTAGTTACCTGAAATATTTTTACTTGACCACAGCTATAGGAAGCATACAGCCCGTTGTCTAGATGACAGAAAAGATGCATTAGAATGGAAGCAATTTCATTGAATTGATTAGAACTGACCTTAGAAAGACATTATATTAAAATGCATAAATGCTCCTATATATTTAGCCTATACATTACATAATTGTGACAGCTGAAAATCACCTCATTGTGATGACTTCACTTATAGGATTTATATATTTTTTTCATTTGTGGTCTAAATAATAAGGATGTTCTATAAATGGACATTGTCTACTGTAGCTACCACCAACTCAGCAAATTCACCTTGAGTGCTAATATCCAGCAGACCGTCTGGCAAAGAGAAGGTTTCATGCAAAAGGTCTAGAAGCGGTCCATGTCTCTCTCTCTCACACACACACACACACACACACACACACACACGCACTATCATCTAGGACTCACTTAATAGCACTACCTAAGTGTAAAAGGAAACTAAGAAAGATGGTTTTGTTTTGTTTTAACCCATAAGGAAAAACAGAGTGTTTAAAACACCTAGCATTCTGTCACATGTGATGACGTTAAAGAATGGGAGACATATAAATGTTGGATGAGGATGGAGCTAAAAGACAGGGATTTAGAGGAGAAGAAAGAGAATCAAGATTAATGATACAAGAAAGGCCAAGAAGTAGATAGTGATCAGCACCATCAATACTTCAAAGATTCCAGGGATACTGAGCAATTGGGGATAATATCTTAAATTAGCTGTAGATAAAACAAAGCTATAGCTGATGTAGAACAAAAATATGCATCAAAAGATGGGAGTATAATCAGGAAAAGGTAACATTTACTCATGAAAAGAAGGGAATATGTATCATCCTAAATTTCAAGAACATCTTGAAGTAAGTTTTATTTGCAGTGTTTTCCCTAGAAAGTGACACAGCAATTTTGCCCTAAAGTTTTAAAATTTTAAAGTAAATATATTAGAAAACACTTTCTCAAACCATATACATTAATTATTGTGGCCACATATATTTTTTCACTTTTGTTGTTGTTAGGTGCCATCGAGTTGGTTCGGACCCATAGCAACCCAATGAACAAAAGAAGGAAACACTGCCAGGGCCTACACCAGTCCCACAAGTGTTCCTGTGCATGAGCCCTTTGTTAAGGCCCCTGTGTCAATCCATCAGGTTGAGGGCCTTCCGCTTTTTCGCTGCCCCTCCACTTTACCAAACTTCTGGTCTTCTCCTCAAATGCATCACTGTCAAGTCCATTTCCTAGAGTCCTGTAGCACAGGGTAGAACCGTCCCTGTGGGCTCTGACAGTGTAAGGCTTTAAAGGTTCACAGCTCAGTGCAGGACCCACTGTTCCCCGAGGTTCCTTGGTTTGGGTTTGGTTCTTAAATGGGTGATACCTGTGAAAACAACACATGGGGCAGACGTCCAGCACACTTGTGTCAAAGCTTTAATAATTTGGGGAGATGACTCCTTGACTTTTGTTTCAAATGTTATTTGACTTCAAAACTTTCAACACTCACTCACTCACTCACTCACTCACTGAGTGTCATCCAGCAGATACTGACTAAAAAGACTAATCGTGGCCCTACAGGAGAGTCGAACTGCTCCTGTGGGTTTCCAGGAGAGGAACATTTTTCAGGTGTGGAAAGCCTTGCCTCTCTTGAGGAGCTGCTGGTGGTCGCCAACCGTCAATCCCGTGGATCGATCGCACGAGTTCACCACTATGCCCGCAGGGCTCCTCTAACATAGTAAGGAGACTGTCTTT